TTCCCATGAACACAGAGTATCAAACCGAAGTACAGTTTTATAATATTTAATCATAAATCCAGCGAGGACGACTAGCTGTAAATGTATGGAATAATTATATCTGTTGTTTTCTTTTCGTCCATATTTTTGATCATGTGATCTCAAATTTCAACCAAGTGCAACTTGTTTCAAAAAATAAAAAAAAAATCAAAAATATGGTGATAAGTAAATTTCAGAAGTCATTCCAACTAGGACAAAATCGAAAGTGAAGAAAGACGCTCAAAACCAATTTCACGATTTAGCAATCAAACCTACGTGCCAAACACAACAACTATTGAATGATTTTCTTATGCCTAGAACCCCAGTTGAACATATCAAATTTGTAATTCATAAGAGTTGATGAGTAGTTTAATTCCGTTGGTGAAATCAAAACGGCTCATACACAAAAAATAGTAACTGGATTTTAACCAGCTTCATAACTGGAATAATTTTCGCTTTTTTCATTTTCATTTAATTTACCAAAAACGCAAGTTCCATAATCATCCGGAGCTTACATAATTTGAAACTTTTTTGTAGTTGTAGCTTTTTCCCCATTTGTGAATAAAGTTTTGCCACCTTCTTAAAGCTACCAAAAAGTTTTGGAACGCGGGTCTAGAATTTGTTCCTCAGGGCTAAGTTTCGCTTTTCATTTTGATTTACAGATCCCACCAGATAATTTCCATGGTGGGATCGCGTGTTCTTTGAAATTGCCTTCTTCAAAAAACAACATATCAAGAAGACTGACAACTTTCCCGAACAATATGGGACAGCCATAATCGCGTCATCTGCCACTCAAAGGTAAATGCCCCGAATGAAATTGATAGCAAATAGTCCAATCTCAAAAGAAAGGTTTGAGTGTAAACGTGTTGCTTCAACCTAAGCTCAAGCGTAGCACTACTGTATCTGTCGCTTTGGTGCTGGAAAAGTTACCTGTCTTCTTGATATGATATCTCGGCTTCTACAGACATTTTTCAGACGAAACAAGAGCTGAAGATCGTCGCTTAATTTAATTGAATTTTATTTTACCTCGGATCAGGGTACTACTTGCAGCTTTAACTTCGACAGTAGATAAATTGATTTGGATCGATTTCGATGTTTGGTTTTTTTTCCCTTTATTTTTAACGTCGGTCTCTGTTCCGTAATCTAGTTTCAATCACCGACGGACATCGATCGCCATCCATTGACGGCAACCGAATGTGCAGGAAGGCAGCTTCCACACCTGCGTAGGATATCGCACCCATTCAAACACACATGGGCCGGGACCAACGGCTTTACTTCCCTTCCGAAGGAAGACGTGACCAGAGATTTTTTCGCCTCAGAAAAATCCCACCGACCTCGACTGGGATTGAACCCAAACCCATTGGTGTGAGAAAGCAGTCACGCTTACCACTACACCACCGGCGCCGGCTATTTCGATGTTTGGGTCAAAGTTATATTCCATAAATCTAGATAGAGCTGGAATTAGGGCGTAACAGCTTTTGTAAACAATGACTTCTCTCGATGATTTCTCGAAAGTCATGACTCTCCCTGGTAAATCGACAACACGATCGATTGGAACTTCCCTTACCCGATGGATATGTTGGTTTGTGTAGGCGTTCCTGGAGTATCTAGAAATCAACGAGGGAAGTAATTGTTTACAAAAGCTGTTACGCGTTAATTCCAGCCCCATCTAGAAATGTTCTAAAGTGACTATAATCAGCACTATGGTAATTAAAAGCTGAACTGTTAAATCAAATACTTCTTGAGAAATATGAACAGTTATTAGATACTGGTCAGAACCGAAGTCAGTATGGGACGCCAATTGACTAAAAAGTTAATTTAAACTGTAGTGCAAAATTAATATGATAAAAATGACAAATGTAAGTAAATAGCAAACCTCGGCATATTTTAATTTATTTTTTGTCCATGCATCCTAATGTATGTGGGCTAGACTGATGCAAAATTTGAAATTTCCACTCCACAGTGCTCAAACGGTTCCAAATTGGGCCCTGATTAGCCTCCCAAAATTTGAACTCATTTAGTGAGAAGCTTACTTGGCACAAACCATTTGAAGTTTATACGGGAATTACTATGAAGAAACCATAATTTCGGCTCATATCTATCTCAAAATTCACCAGTTCACTCTACTTTAGAAAATGATATCTTAGCTTGTTGAAAATTTTCTCAGTTACAACTTTGTTCAAGACCACTTTTCGATCAAATGTAAAGAACAAAAATTATTAATGATTCAATTGATTATGCTCAATCAACTGTTCAGCAGGCAACATTGGTGTTTATGGCGCGTAGAACAATGGACAAAAATCATGGCTACTATGTCACACTGCAGAATACAGTGTTGCCCACAATACAGTTGCTTAATCTTGCCATAAAATTATCAATCTCTTAAACAATTAATAACTATTTAATTTGACGTTTGGCTGAAAAACGATTTTCTGCAAAGCTGTAGCTGATAAAAAATCCCATAAGAATAGCAATAGAATTTGTGAACAGTACAATATGTAAAAAGGCTAGAAGACAATGAACAAAAAGTTTTGTTTTCCCATAGTAATTTCCATATAAACTTCAAATGGTTTGTGCCAACTCAGTTTCTTATCAAATGAGTTTAAACTTTCGGAGGCTAATCAGGACCCGATTTGAATCCGTTTGAACACTGCGGAGCGAACATTTCAAATTTTGCATCAGTCTAATGTGGGCATCTATAGACTAATTTTTTTCCATTGAATTCCCCTACTTTGATTGATTATCCTTAACAGATACGTGTATAATATGCAGACATCATCAGTGTCTTGTACTAATACTGTACTAATAAGTACAAGACACTGAAGAAGTCGGCATGTTGTAGATGAAATACGCGTATCTGTCAAGGATAAACAATTACGGTAGTGGAATTAAATGGACATTTCTAATGCTTCTTTCTTTCTTTATGTCCATACATGTTTGTTCACATCAGAGCATACCATGTATACATAAATTAGATAAATAATCATCCTACCAGAAATGAGAAAACATGAAAAAACTCAAATTCAATGAGTGAAATTGATCGGTCAAGACGTAGAACTTTAATTTTAACTGTTGAAAACTTGAACATTCCACACACAAATCTTAGTAGTGTGATTGTTCTTTTATGTATCTTATTACTACCGATAGGGTTCGTGACATCGATTCGACCAGGTTATTTGTAGTTTCTGGCAGTCGGTACTCCTCACAGCTTTAATCCCTTTCTGGTATGAATGTGCTTCTTATGATCTGCTCGCCCTATTTCATTCCTAAGATGTTCAATTGAGGTCAATTCTGGGCGTTTCTGCTACCGGTAAACATACAATAACAAAACTGCTTCCCCGTGTTGGATGCGACGCAGCAAATGTGGTTATGCAAATTTAATGCCTGAAATCGCAATAGTGCCCGTGAATAACTCCCTAGAAAACTCAAAGTGGACGCTGGATCGTATCGCCTTAGCGACAAACAATCGATGATACTGATATTTGACCATGCATACTCATGATACTCTGGTCCGAACTTTTTCTTGTTTCGAAACTCAGTTCCTCGGAGACTCTCAAAACCGTCAACAAGAAGAGTTTAGAACCAGATATCGATGTGATAGTTCTTACACCACGAAAAGGTAATCTATCTGTGTTACGGAACATTGATCTGGAGGAAGTGGTTGTTCATATTTCAAGAAAATGTTTGACTGCAAGTTTGGTACGAAACTTCCGAAAAAGCCGTAATACCGTGTGGGACCATAATCCATACAGCTAATAAATTAATTGGAATACATAAATCTCACACAAAACGCTAATTTTTTGTATGATGTGTACGGATTAAGATCCCGTATGGATTTTGGGATCGCACGACACCACGGTTCGTGAGCAAACCCTGCTAAAAAACCTCCATTAATCGCGAAGCCTTCCGTTGTCATTGTTACCATCATCACAAAGAACCGATTCTAATTGAAAGATCCCACCATTTATACCATTCCAAGAGTTGACAATCAAAATCTGATTTCTTGGCAACAAAATCAGGTAATGACACCAATATTGACCATTGATCAGAGCCCTAGTCTTAACCACTTCAAACTAGAGAGCAATTAATAGAAGGTTAGGATACACATAGATGAAGACTAACCCATCTATTCCTTGTTTCAAGGTCATCCTCGGTTGAGCAAACCGAGTCTTATCACTATCAACAAGGCATAACATGTAACAAGGAATATGATGTATTCTTTTGATTACTGAAAAACCATTTTCTCCTAGATTGAAGTAGTCAGGACTAGGAATCGGTTGTAGATCTTACAATGTAACGCACCACAAATAGGTGATCTACCAGCACTGCAGCGTCCCGCGAGATTCATCTCAATACTATACTTTATGTATTTCTATGACACTTGTTGCAACACAACATCGAAATAATGTAACCTACAAACAACTTAAACCGTAATTCTGAGCATATATTAACAATTCATGTGTAAAAATCACAAACTTATGTCTCTAAAAGGGTCCATTTACCTATCAGTTTAAAAACGGTTCATGCAACGATGCAACGAAACGATATGTACGTACCTATATTTACATAACATACGCTTGGCAAAATGTGCTTAACCCAGCAAAGCAATAACTCCTCCCTCCCCCTATTGTTTTTGTCTCACTCCAAATGCTACAAGTTTTCCACAGCCGGATGTTTTTCACCGATAAATCTCACAATTTCGATTTTGTTTCTGTTGTAGTGTAGTGAATTTTAGTTTGTGTGAATATTTGTATTCCTACTCAATTGCACCAATCATCCAGGAGGATAGAAAACACACTATCCCTTGTTTTTCAATTTTCCTCTCAATATCTTCATTAAATGTGTGGTATTTTTTTTCAGTATAAATCAAATGTGTAGATATCATTGTAATGTATTGCTACAAGTTAACTAATAACGCTCTATTTGTACTGTCTCTTCCTCAACCCGTGGACGCCATCATCCATTATCTCACCCCCGGCTAGGAGTACAAAGAGTTTATCGATGCTGAAGGTTTAATGCCACTTCCAACTTCCGACTTCCACACGACGGTCTGCTTAGAGATGCGTATGCTAAAGAATAGTATGAACAATAACTGTATAGCCCCACCAGCACAATTCGGTCCAAGTACAATATCATATCCATATCCGTATGTGGATACACCAATCAAACATTCTAATAACTGTAATAATAATAATAATAATGTGAATAGTAACGCGAACGGTACCAGTAACAACAATAACGCTAGCGTTAGTAATAACAATAGTAATAGTAACAATGGTGATTTAGCTAGTGTCGATAGCTCTGATACATACGCTAGTTGTCAAACGCATCCATTCCTATCACAAGGTGATCTAACATCCGATATTGTAGATATGTCATTCGACTTAGATACGCTAGATACGAACAATCTGTACATAAATCCACTGGAGAAAGATTCTCAACAGCAACGTTCTGTAGGTAGTCGATCGCAGGTGAAAAAAAGTGCTTCCGGAGATACTGGCCTGAGAAGTTTGGGAGCCAGCCCGATGGACGACGAATATAAGCAATTCCAGGCCTCGTTCGATACGTCTGATCGGGGCAGCCGCGTCAGCCTGAACGAGACCCCGGTGCCAAAGCATCGCAAGACCCGCTTCCAGCAGGGTGCCACCTCGGCAGCGCTGGCCGCTGCTGCTAGGCCTAAAACCCGCTTCGAGAATCTCAAATCCTCGATCGAAAGCCTTGAAGAGGCGGGCGCGGCTGCTACAGCTACAGCTAGCGGTGGCAGTTTCATCAAAAAGACACGAAGATCTTCCTTCATGCCAGCCAAAAGTATAGCCTCGGCAACCAAACTCATCAACCAGCACCTGTTCGGTATCCAGAATCCAACGCCAAAAGGTAGGTCCTGATGCTCCTCCGGACACTCTCGATCATCAGCCTCTCGCATACTCGATTTAAACATTTTGCTCACACTCACTCACACACACTACGCAAGACATCTCCTAAACCATATATATATTATACGTAACTGTTTTCATCATAACAAACATATGCTGATCGTTCGTGTCGAAGAAGACTCAAAACCGACCTGAGCCGCTAATATCGATGTTCAATCAGGACCAATTGGAGCTAAATCAAAATCAATCTTTTATGTCACATTTTTCAGAAAATTCACATCATCACCAAACATAAGGAATCACACAACACGCAAACACCTGTACACAAACACATATGCGCGAATGTTGTCACCATTGTTACTTTGTCACAGGAGTTGTTTATGTTTCACAATACTCACACTAAAACACACTTCGTATGTACCACCACACACACACACACACACCAATCTATGCGATGTTTTCCGAATGACATATTTTGTGAAAGTTTGGTTCTATTTTAATACACATCATATGCTTTACTTTTCAGTTTCCTGATTTCAATCAAATTTTCATTTACCCACAACATAAATGTCTCTAAATCAATAAGAATGATTCACTTAAACAAAACAGTGAACAGATTTTGGATCGTATTCCTGAAAAATATGCATACATATAGGCCATGTCCATCGTCAGGCTTTGAGAAAGTTTTGAAAACATAGGAAAATTGATAGTATAATTATAAGCAATAATCTGATTCGAAAATGTGCAATTCAACCAAAACAGTTAACCTTTCAGTACTCGGCGGCCTTGTACAAAGTACATCACAAAAAAATAAACCTACTGACTTTGGAACTCGTTCAACTCGTATAGTTTCACAAACATGTTTCAATAAATGTAATACCCACGTCCAATAGACCAATATCTGCAGAATATTTTGGAAAATATCCGGTTTCAAAAAGTACTCTCAAGGTGAAAATAACATACTGTTGTATTTTGCAAGACGCGTGAGTGGTCGTGTTGCATAAGTTGGCGCGAGTACTGAAAAGTTAACAATGCAACCTTCAAGGAAATTTTGTTTGCTCTTCAAACCTAGGATAGTTCATCTATTAAAAAAAATCACTATCAAAGGAGTTAGCAAATAATCATCCTTTGAATCCAGAATTCAACAATCGATGTGGAAGGAATAGTTTCCTATTGATTACGATTTTTAAAGTAGGTTTTATCCGAATGTATAGTCAATCACAAGGGTGCAGCCAGGTTAGGAAAATAGTGGCGGGCAAACATTCTTTGAACTTGGAGAATTACGTTATTACGTTGAATGTCGTTTGGCCGAATGTGATTAGGCCCAAAGGGTCATTAGGTCAAATGAGTAATTTAACCGAAATGGATATTTCTGTCAAACTGCATAAGCATTTTTCAAATTTACTTGGTGACCTGTAAATACTGAAGACAATCAATTCTTCCAGTGACGATGTCAAAAATAATTTTGTCAACATCGCGTGCAGCTATGGCATAATCAGTAGCAAATTGATCTTTTTCCGCCGTCATACGCTCTCAATATCACGCGTGATATTGGAGCAAAATATCATGTTGACTTTACAATCTCCTTTGATATTGCGAGACTATTCCCAACGTGTAAAGTTGAAGCTGAGAGTTGAATCAACGCAAAAAAGATTCCGTTGCACCTCGTTATGCTAGAAAGAGAAGGTATAATTATGATATCTCTTTTTCCTCTACACCGATGGCAGACACGAAGCGACTGCTGTCAGCCGTTATGGAAGTTTCGGTTGCGTTCGGGCGTACCTATAGCCAAAATCACGAAACTCAATCTCACCACAGCTTGGTAAGATTTGCAGCTGGTGAGGTGAGAGTCCGAGTTGCGATATCACAGCTTACAATATCAACCGCAGTTGTTTGCTTGTTGACTTTTGTCTACACGCTATTTCAAAGCTAATCAAATTTGGGTATAATCCACCCCGATTGGTCAAAACTGAACCTACCCAAAAATGGGTAAACTATGTTGGGAGTGACAAGTTGACAAATGGACAACATCGAAATGAGTCCGATCGACTTTGTTCATTTGTCAACTTGTTGGTCCCAACATAGTTTACCCATTTTTGGGTAGGTTCAGTTTTGACTGATCTAGGTCGATTCTACCCAAATTTGGATACTTTTGAAATACCGTGTATGAAAATCAAGCGTGATCTTGTTCTTTGGTGAGATTTGATTTTTGATATTTTTCCAACACTGATCACGTGAATTCTTTCAATTATAATGACCAATCTCAGCACTGATCCTGATTAGTTGAATGCATGATAAACATTTTTTTTTCATAGTTGTTACTGCGTTAGTGCTCAGAACCAGTGAAATTTCCCAGAGCACTACATAGATTGAGCTTGGGAATTAGATTTCCTTCTGCAATGCACAAGTTTTCTCTGATGCATTATATTTATAAATCAGTTCCGACGCCGGCCACGTCCTCGCGGTCTTTAGGGAGGGGAAAGATGATTAGTTTCGATGTTACCAAAGTATACCTCTGCATCTCCATTATTCTCGAGTAAATTTTCAACGAGACCAATGTAACATATCCGCTATTTCGAGAAAACCGAATTTGAAGTCCGACAGATTATTATTTTAACTGTTTAGAAACAATCCATTTTGCAATACAATTTTTACCGTAGTCAGTGAATAGTAACATTAAAAATTCAGTAGAAACGGTAAAATCGCAATTTTAATTTGAATTTCATGCTACAATATAGAAAAAAAATCACATAGGACGTTTTGACTAGTCATGTTTGACATCGGACGATTTTTTTCAATTACATAATCAGTGAGTTTTACATTGGACATTTTCTTCAGATTCTAAATATCCGAACTAATAATCAAGTATCCATCATTCCAAACTGTACATTGGAAATTGTTTTACTTATGATTATCATAAACAATTTAAAAAAATTTGGATGGATGCTTTTGTATCACATACAATGATAGAAGAGCAGTAGTTTGTATCGATTAACTCAGTTTGTTTACATTTGTTAGTTAGGGCCTTTTGAAAAGTTACGCGAGAATTGGCGCGGAAAGGATAGTTGTATTAGTGGTGGGATGGGTTATTTTTAGATCAGTATTCACTGTGGTAAGGTGATGCGATCAATGAAAGCAGCATACTGTTTTAATTTTAAATCTAGTGGGGATAAAATAAGACATAGTGAAAAATTGCAAGGAAGGAGACGGTCCTGGGATAACACTCCTATTGCTCAGTAATCATAAATGGTAACCTCTTAGCTACCTAGCTTCGCCAAGGTTGTATGATATACATTTAAGTTAGACATAAATCTGAATGAGATTGAGTCAAACGGGTCGCAAAGCTAAATGAATCACTACAAAGACACCAAAATTTATCTTTTTATTTGCCTTTAAATATCGGATAGAATTCTTTATAGGATTTCTTTGGATTGTTCTAATGAATATTCTTTAAAATAATTTCCCTCCACAGAGTTCTTTGCTGGATTTCTCTAAAATAGATCTGAAAACAATTGCAATTGCCATTAACACAATCTAGAAATTCTATCCTAAAAAAAATCATGGAACTCATCCTAAAATTTACTTCTAACTTTTAATTATTAAAAAAAATCACTGAAACTTCCTTTCACGATTCTATTTAAAATTCGATTGAATTCACCATAGAAGTTTCATGCAATGTACCCCAGAAAATTCTATATTCTTCTCGAAATTATATGTTCTATATTCTTCTCAAAATTCCATTGGTACTATCCTCGATATTCCCTTTAAAATATCTCAAAATTTCTTTAAAATTGTAAACTCGATTCCCTTGACATTCTCCTCAGAATTTCCTAAAAATTCTCTTCATAATTCACTTGAAATTAGTTTTAGCTTTACATTGACATTGGCCGTAGAATTATTTTGGGACATTCTACAGAATTCAATACCATCAAAATTTCCTTGGAATTATAATCAAAATTTTCAAGATATTCTTCTAATATTTGGAATGCTCATTGAAAATTAACCAGGAATCTTTTTCACAATCGTCACGAAATATCTTTCAGAATAACCAATAACAATCAGCTATTCTAACAATTACCTTGGAACGCTTCCTACATATGACATAGAGTGCTAGCCAAAACTCTTTTAAAGTTCTTTCCGAAAATCCCTAGGAATTTTTCTATGAAATCCTTAGATTGGTTCTTAAATCTCTTCGAAAATCCTTTAGAATTTTCATTACACTTTTCTGAACAGTTCTTCAAAATGACTGTATCCAGAAAATTATGTTTAGTCTAATGATCTTGATTTTTTTTTTTTCAAGGCCAAAGGATAATTTTTTTCCGATTTTTCATCGAAATTCACGAAATATTTCCGGTTTATTCCCGTTTTTTTCAGTGATTTCGGTTTCCCGGTATTTTTGAAAATTTTCCGGTCCCCTGAGGAATTCTGAGCTTAAAACATTTATTCTATACTTCGAACATTGTTCGTGATTCTGTTTCAAAGATACGATTTTTTATGATTTTGGACTAAACTTTTTAATTTCCCAGGCTTAAAAAATAATGAGATAGGAAACTTACGATATGATGTAGCGAATGAGTGGTCCGATCTAGGAATTTTTCGGGTTGGAAAATTTCTCGACTCGACAATCTTACTCTATGCCCAGGAACATAGAGTATGATTGCACTTGCCACACAATTATACTAATGGAAAAATGGTACATGCATCGAAAGTTCTCAATTAATAACTGTGGAAGTGCATCTAGAACACTAAATTGAGAGCATGCGATAAGCAATAAACTTGAATTGCGAATAAGAAGAAGAATCATAAAAATTAAATGGTTTGTTACTTCAATTTCATAATCAGGAAAATTTTGAATATTCTGGCTACCCCACACTGGCGCATTTTTTTCGTGGTTTATTCGATAGTCGTTCGCTATCGATTCGCTGTCTGCAGCGTTTTCGCCGCCAAAGAAGTGCGGTATCCGGTGGCCGAAAAAGCGTGGTATCTGTTCTCTGAGTGCTT